ATTCCATTGGCTGAGGCCCATAAAAACAACATTCCTTCCGAAAATCCTCCTCCACCTCCCCTATCCACTGCTTCCATAGTCTCTTCTCTCATCTACCTTCATTCCCCTCACACCCTCCACCCCTTCCCTTCCTTCACTCCGCTACATCCTCCACCGATATTCCTCCAGATTCCCTCTATGCCCTCCAATCCTTTCCACTCCCCCCCCGACTCCAATTCCCTTCCACAATTCATTCCTCTTATAGAGTAATCCCATTCCTCTCTCCACCTCGATCTCCGATGTTCCTCCCTCTTGCTCCTATTCCTCTCCACTCTTTATCTCATCCACCTCGCCCATACCTCCCTCTCGTTTCCACCAACTCTCACCTTCGCTCCTCGCGTTGCCGCTTCTTATCCTCTCCACGCAGCCGCACTCTCTCGATCTCCGAGCTCCTCGATCTTGACCTCGACCCGGAGCGGCCACGGACGCTGCCGCCAGACTCCGACCCCGAGTCGTAGTTGCGGGAGTCGTTCGATGACACGGAGTCACTGCTGCCATCCAGATCTCCCTTACTCCTCCTGCTCCCCGGGTCCCCCGATGTCTCCCGCTGTCCCCCTGCCGCACCGCGCAACGGGGACCCCGGCCCACTCCAACCCGGGGGCCTCGTGCCCCAGCGCTCCCAGGTGCGCTCGCCCTCGCGTACCTGGGGCCCCCAGCGGGACACACGAGTACCGTGGTCTCCTCCCGAACGCTGCCCTCTTGCTCCAGGAGACTCTGAACGTTGCCCCCTGCATCTGGGAGACAGTGAGCGCTGCCCTCTGTGTCTGGGAGATTCCAACCACTGACCCCTGTGCTGGGGAGACTCCGAGCGCCTTCTCCCTCTGGGAGACGCTGAGAGCTGCCCCTTCTCCCGAGACCCCAGCCGCTGCCCTCGCTGCCCATTGTGTCGACCGGTCAACTCCAGGCGCTGACCCTTCTCGCTAGGAGACCCAGACTGCTGCCCTCTGCGTCTAAGAGGAGACACCGAGGGCTGCCCTCTGCGTCTAACAGGAGACACCGAGGGCTGCCCTCTGTGTTTAACAGGAGACCCAGACTGCTGCCCTCTGCGTCTAACAGGAGACACCGAGGGCTGCCCTCTGCGTCTAACAGGAGACCCTGAGCGCTGCCCTCTGTATTTAACAGGAGACCCTGAGGGCTGCCCTCTGCGTCTAACAGGAGACACCGAGGGCTGCCCTCTGCGTTTGACAGGAGACCCTGAGCGCTGCCCTGGAGACAATGAGCGCTGCCCCCTTGGTTTACCAGTGGATTCTGGGCGCTGCCCCCTCTGTCTGGGAGACCCAGACCGCTGCCCCCTCTCTCTGGGAGACGCCGAGCGCTGCCCTAGCTGCCCTCTGCGTTTACCAGGAGACGCAGAGCGTTTCCCCCTCTCTCTGGGAGACCCAGACCGCTGCCCCTTCTCTCTAGAAGCTGAGCGCAGACCCCGCTGCCCCCTCTGTTTACCAGGAGACCCAGACCGCTGCCCCCTCTCTCTGGGAGACCCAGACCGCTGTCCCCTGCGTTTAGCAGGAGACTCCGAGCGCTGCCCTCGGCGTTTACCAGGAGACTCCGACCGCTGCCCCCACTCTCTGGGAGACGCAGACCGCTGCCCTCTGCGTTTAGCAGGAGACGCAGAACGTTGCCTCCTCTCTCCGGGAGACGCCGAGCGCTGCCCTCGCTGCCCTCTGCGTTTAGCAGGAGACGCCGAGCGCTGCCCCCTCTCTCCTGGGAGACTCCGAGCGCGGCTTCATCTGCCCCGCGCCGGTCTCGCCTGAGTGAGGCCTGTCGTGGGCCCCGGGCCGGGCCGCGCGCTCCTCGCGGCGCTTCTTATCGCTCCCTCCCATGGCCCGTCGCCTCGGCTCCTGCCACCCGCACTGCTCCTCCCCCGCCTCCTCCTCCTCCTCGCACAGCGGAGACTCCGTTGAGTGCCGCGCAGCTGCCGGCGAGAGGTTCGAACGACGGCGAACTGGGAGCGTGCGCGGCGGCCTGGAAAGTGCGCGACGCCTGGAACACAAAAAAAAGAAAGGGGGCGGGGGGAAGGCCCCCGGGTTCGTGACGTCATATCGCTGCGTGACGTCATCGCGCGCGCGAACAAAAAATGACGTCGGCGTTCAAGCGGCGCTATGACGTCACAGCGCAGAGGATGCGTTAGTGACGTCACTGGGCGATGACAATAGACGCCGGACAATCATAAATGACGTCACGCACATGGGGGGGGGCAGACATTTGTGACGATGTGTGACAAGGCGGGGGGGGGGGGTGAGAAATGTGACGTCACATAAAAATGCGCAACTTTAAATAAATAGACAACACGTTCTACTTAATTAAATATTGTTTTTTTAAATAAATGTGACAATGACAATAGTTTAAAGCGATTTGAAGCATGTTTTATATATTTTTAGGGGGGAGGGCAGAGCTTTGTGACGTCATATTTGAGGGGGGGGGGGGTCTGACGTTTTGTGACGCCATGTGACAAGGGGGGGAGGTCAAAAATCGTCCAAAATCGCGTGACGTCATTTATGGACGGCCCCTTAGCCCCTATTCGTGTACAGGGGAATTGAGTTATCAGGTCCATGCGGCATACAGCCGCTTCAATACGGACAGCAACAACAAAATCATGAAGCCAAACACAACAATCATACTTGTGGAGAGTTGCGATTGCCCCCACCCCCCCGGGAATTGCTACGCTCAGGGTAGAGCGATGGTGCTCATCATCTTTGAAATCGATTGGCCGACACCAGCAACAGCTTTAAATTTTGTATTTAAAGCTTTTGTGACTGAAGGGATTCATATGCTTGGTTCTTTCGGTAAAGTCACGTAGAAGGGAAATAATAAAGTAATAAAAATATAAAACAAAACAAAATATTTTTTAAAATATTATTTAATATTATTTTATTATTTCCCTTCTACGTGACTTTACCGAAAGAACCAAGACTATAGCAACAGATTTCTTTAGAGCCTCCTGGTCTCACCAGCAGTGTCAGACCAGAGAACGCCAAAAGGCGACCAGCACAAAGACAATGCCACTGTCAAGGGTAATGATAACTCGGGGTGAGCAGCTCCAGAATGACCGTCTTGCCAGTGTCACAGCCAATATCATCAGAGCATCTTTGTCTGCATGTTCACCACAAGTACCGGGTGTGGTTAATGCGAACTTGATTCCTTGAAAAAGGTTTATATTTGGTCTTTGAACATCTTAACACCTCCTGTTGTATTGGCCGAAAGGGTAAACACCCTATTATGATTACTCTTTGGTTCTTTCGGTAAAGTCACGTAGGTAGACAAAATAATCGATCACGACGTTTCGATCGCAAGGCAAGCGACCGTCTTCAGGTGAGAGAACAAGAAGCCGGCTGCGAGACACGGGGGGGGGGGGGGGGCAGAGAACGATTGGAAGAGAGAAATGCAACGACCGCAACACAAGTGATCGTGAGAGACACACACACAGACACACACACAGATACACGCACACAGACACACACACACAGAGACACACACAGACAGACACACACACATGGGTATATGGAGGATTCAACCTTTGTCTTCTATTTTCATACGCACATAGTTGTATTGCTGTGTGAAAGTTGACAATTTGTATTATGTTCCTCACTGGTGTTATAGGTTTGATTTTTCTGCTGTTGATGTATTTGAATAAAATCAAATGCTCAATAAATGGTCTACAGGTTGAAAAGGTCTCGCGTTAAGCAATTCAACTTAAAGACAATTTTCACAACTTGTTGGTGCTGGTGAGAAGTCTAAGACCCAACTGGTTTACCTTAAGTTTGGAGATGAACTGGCACAAGCTGTTACAGGCCGCTGGCAAAATAGTCTGGATAAGCAAGTCTGAATTTAGGGTTGGCATCTTTTGCTTCTGTAGTGCCCCAAACACACACATTTAATGTGTGTGCATTAGCCTGCATATATGTGCATCTGATAAAACCGGTCGGCTACGATTGCTGGAGACCGTTTTTCCAGGTCAGGGTTAGTGACAGAAAAATCAGTGTGCTGAGCTTGAGTGGTGATAAATCACAATGTTGTCATGATATCACGCATGCATACAGCGACTATTTGGTAATAATATACAATGTATCACACTGCACGTTGTGACGCAACCGACCAAAAACCACATCATGTATGGAGACTGCTATTTCTAGCACGTCTTAATGATCATCGGGGCAGACGAGTCATTTGTTTATTTCCACACGCTTGCAAATATTTGACGAAACCTCTCGGCGTCCTTCGGGATATACCATCGTAAGGTGGCGGACAACAGAGCATTGAGCTGGCACTGCTGAGATCCCGGATTTGAAATCCAAGCTGCCACCACCTGTGATTATGAGACGCAGTTCTCAAGTGTAGTGGAGTTGATGATCACAGCTCAGTTACCAAATAACTCCACAAAAAAACAATGCATAGCAATCAATTAGATTCTGCAATTAATGGTGTTAAATTTCAGGTCTGGGTAATTCAAATATTGATTTGACTGTCATGCAATGAACATTACTCTCGCATGCAGAGCGGGTGGGAAAGTGTGTGGATCAGAGGTCATTGTAAGGGATTTCAGAAGTCGCTCTGCGATGCTATTGAAAGATGATGTACATGTCCATTTTCATCTGCCATCTGTATGCTTTTTTTTGTGGGGCGTTACAGTTCATTATGAATAAAGAAGCAAACCCTTTATTTTAAGGTAAACGAATCGTTCAACCAATGATTTGATCAATTCACATATTGCTACACACAAGCACTATTTGATTACATAAAAGTAAACATTTGCCCACAGTCATCAATTATTTTAAATGGGGTTATAACATAAATGGAAGCCCATCATCTCTCCCTGGACTCATAAAATTAGAAACAATCACGGCTTTGTAGTAAATCACCAGTGGGTATCACTACGGAGACACTGGGTCACCCCCACAATCGGAGTGAGGAATGTCCACCATGACAGAGGTCTCCAACAAAGATGCCCACCTTCATATTGTTAAGTTGTGCAGAGAGGCGCTGACACTTTGTATTTGCCAAAAAAATCCTTTATTCAACCATTAATAACGACATCAGCTTCTCCAGCAGAAGACCAGGTCTCCGATGCCAAAGTGAAGTTGTGAAAATCTCTACACAAGGGTAACAGGTTAAATAACGAATACAGGGCCGAGTCCCTGAGCCTCTCAAAGATGTGATCCACAACACAAATAGCTCTTCTCTTGTAGCTACACAAAGCCACGCATGTCCACCACACGAGTTGCAAGTTTTGCTGATAAAAACTTATTACTTTAAAGTGACTTTCAGGATCAACCCAAGCGACGTGACCACAGCGCAACTGTCGTTGTGTTTAAGATGTCACGATCGCGTGATGGCAATGGCTCTACAAAATATCGCGTTCATCGTCATTGTCAGCCTCTCCCCACGTGGGAATTTTCAAAATCGTGACCATCCACCTGGGCCACACGGTCTGTAGCCAGTGTGTAACGAAGAGATGATTAGAATCGATTGTGACATCTATGATACAAGCAAACAAGTATATTTGTTTAAACTCCAGCACTATTTGATGCTTAACTTCACCAAAATAGTGCACATGAGGATACATTTTTTACAATGTTTGAGAATCTATATACTAATGGTTATGTTGAGGCTGATGATGATGCCGTGACCAAAACGTGTACATTCGAGGCATAAAACACCCACAGATTCTTGAATCGAATCGTGAACCTGAATCATGGCAATTAATCAAATTGCTCACGAAATTAATAGTCACGTGCCTTCAACGTCCGCACGTAACTACAAGAGAAGAGCCATTTGTATTTTGGGTTACATCTTCCTTGAATGGGCTCCTTATGAAAGTCCAGTCAAAAGTATTTGCACATACATATATATATTTGCGCATGCATATACAATCAAACTATATATGAACAGGTACACGCATGAGCACACGAATACAAACATACAGACCTAAAATGTACATAAATACAGGGAAAACATACAACACTAAACAATTTCATAAGCTTAACTATTTTTGTTATATTACCAGGTAAGACGCACTGAGCTTTACAGCTCTTTTTCATAAGCGACCTGGCCACAAAGGATATCTCAACAACGAAGTGGCTTATCGCGTGGAAATTGAATCAGCCAAATACTCAAAACACTTGCTTGTAAATGTGGAGGGAAAAACCTGAGGACCCAGAGAAGAATCCATGCGACCATGGGGAGAACATGCAAACTCCAAATATACAGCAGGCGTCAGGGTCGGGATCAAACCCATGACCTCCTGTATACCAGGCGAGGTAGTTAACATCTCGCCACCGTGGCGCCCCAAAAACAAAAAGAGTGAAGCCCCCATTTTAGTCTCATAGACCACTGGGACAAGAAACTGCTGTTAACGAGCACATCTCAGTAAACATGAAATGTTGGTCCAATGTTGGCACGTGGTTGAAACCCATGGATCAATGTTGGCCCAAAGGTCCACGTTTACTGGAATATTAATACACGCAGTATATATACACACACACACATATCCTAACATTTACTCATGTACATAAAACACAAAATACAATGAACATATCCGTGAACACATGGACAGGCATATACGTAAACATTACAATGGGAATTATTTCTTGTACAGCAGCCATATTATACACTGTTGCAGCAAGAGTTGTCAGCGAGCACACACACAATAAGACTGGCATGGCAAGTTAGGGGGTGGTGCGACCAACACCACGTCCATCTACATTTGTTTCCCGAGTGCCGATGTTTGGTACCGGGTATAAACTTAAGGCTGAGTCAACCTACATGAACACACTTGCACGTCCACACAAGCAGATCCAAGCACAAACGCAGACATGCAAGCACACAAATTCACTTATAAACAGGCACACACTAATATACAGAAGAGATGTGCAAAAACTCGTAATCAGAGTCCACTATGCTGATATTTATGCATAGTCACCCATGTGCATTTGTGCCATTCATGGAGCAAAGCCACGTGTTGCCATTCATTGCCACACGGGGGGCGCTGCAGTTATCATACAAAACACTCCTTGATGTGGTGGTGGGTGTCGTTCAAATGTGATCACCTTTCCAGCACAAAAGGTGGAATTACGGATACCAAATACGGATGGCAGCTTTCATGCTGTTTACAGGAATACCTGTGCGTGTGAAAGCATTGTCAGCAAGTGGGTTCAGCCATCTGTGGCGAAGCAGTGTCTTCGCGATAGCCCTGCATGATAGCAATGGTGTGAAGACCAAATGGACAATATATTTGGTGTTATTATTGTTAAAAAGCCAGAAGTAGTGTCAGAAACGAGAACAGCAGCCATCCAAAAAAATATGGAAATGCCAAGCCGGAGTTCTACCATGATGGCATTGTCATATTGGTTTCACAATGGCACAAGTGCATCAACAGTGCTGAGAAGTGCATGGGGAATGTCAACTTCTTGGCATAAATATGATTTGTCATGTGCATCTCGGATAACTTTATCACCTATCGATGAGATGAAACTGGTCGAGCATTTGCCGCATAACCAAAAGTCAATGCAAAACATTGGCCCAAAAACAATTGTCACCGATGGAACTCAATGTTATGTTGTGTGTGTGCGGAACTCAAACCTTGTCCATGTCTTTTATTTTAATTTCAATAAAGACACTTTCATAAATACTTTCCTTATGTCCCATATAGACTCTCATAACGACAAATATATTCATGGCGCATGATGGTGAGGCGTGGCCTGTTTCCCCAGTGCTGATGTTTTCACACCACACCAGGTGCTCAGTTAAGGCAGAATTGACTTTGGCGAGGTTCAAGGCACATTCAGATACCACTCACCGGTATCCACTGGCAAGAATTGAACCCAGGTCACAGCGCAATGTGCAGGCCACAGCAGTGCCACTCACTACGCACACTCACGCACATAAAGCCATATACATGCACACACACGAGCCTCATCCAGCTCCACACAAACTCTGTATTGATATAAGTCTCACCCCAGGGTGGTGATGACACCCAGTGAAAGCTGAAACACAGTCCTTCACATCAGGCAGCGATGCATGACTGCATATGTTAACGCTGAAGATTCACTATGGGAATGGTGTCATCAACCTGCACACAATGTAGCAGTGAGTGGCTGACCACAGCATGCTGATGAACTCCAATGAGAACATCATATTATTTTAGTCAGGAAGTAGCAGGAGGATGGCCAAGTAGTGTTAACGAACCCTTGTGGCCGTGAAGATGACACCCAGAGATGATGGAATGGTACAACCACAGCACAAGGCAGCAGCAGTGAGCGATCATCTTATACACACAATGCACAAGGCAGCAAATGGTCATGTAGTGCTGATGAACCCCAATAAAGGCAGATGCTCTGTGTCTGTGAATCTGTCTGTTGAAAAGGTGTCCCTCTATCTGTGACAGTGTGTAACTGCCTGTCTTGTATGTTAGTAGACGATTTGGGAATGGGCGAGTAGGTGGGTCAACGTGCGAGCAGCTGAGAGAAAGGTCAAACAACCGAGTGTGGAGTGACGAGTTCAGCGAGTGGTCCAGTACGCGCAAGTGGTTCAACAAGTGGTTCAGCGAGTTAGTAAGCGAGTGGTCGAGTGAGCAGTCAAATTAAGTCACCGAGCAAAATTACCCGTTTGGACCGATCCATCAAATCGCAAATCAACCCTCTTCCTCACCCAAGCAAAAGGGCCCGGTTCACGGCAGACCTCCACCACCGTCACCCCGTCTGCTGCCCTCCAGGTTTTCGTCAATGCGAGCCAGCTCCTCCCCCTTGTTCCCGTCGGCCTTGGGCCCGTTTTTCCGGAGGGACGTGATCTGCACCTCCTCCGAGTTGGTGGCGAGGTAGAGTGGCCGGCGGCAGCGCAGCACCTGCAGGAAGGTGCTCTGCATCTCGTGGTCGCGCAGGGAGTAGATGATGGGGTTGACACCCGAGTTGAACTCGGCCAGCAGGAGGAAGAACTTCTCGTAGACGTAGAGGTTGCAGCCCTTCTTGCACACGACGTCGAGCAGCAGCAGGACGAGGGCTGGCGTCCAGCAGATGACGAAGGCTCCTGTTGCGGTGACAAAGACAAATTAGCCTTAACAGACTGCTAGGGCAAGTGCTGTTGGTGAGCACCGATTATAACTGCTGCTCACTCCGATAATGATATTGAGATCCTGCTGCTGAACCTGAAGTTTGACACAGATGCAGCCAAACCATTAGAACCCTGCTAAAAAAAAACATCCGCCGATATATAGTGTCATCGAACATTCCACTACTCTACAACTCTCAATGAGTACTGAGATTGCTGTTAAGATGGTGAATGAGCGCCTGTAATTTGAGCAGTGTGCTCATGGTCAGCTCTGGTTTGGTGGCAGAGGCCTCACTCGAAATCCATTAGAGTAGAATTTTTCTTTAAACCAGCTGTGCTCTATGTGAGCGACAATAACTTTCAGGTATTCTCAGCCACAACTACGCATTCTCTTCTCTCTGCTTGCGAAAGGTGAACCCCCCCTTTATCGGAACACATGGGCTGGCAAAAAAAACATCCAGGCCGTCCTGCCAATGACCCATCCTAGGTTTCTTCAGACTGTGTGGAGCAGCTCACAGATCCTTGAGAGATCTGTGCAATTCAAGGTGGGGGGAGGGGGGTCATCTGCCAGCAGTGTGGGTGGCGCATCTGCCATTTAGCTCAACCAGTTAACCCATAACACCTGGGTGTTCCGTAACCTTCTTTTAGCAAGCCTTCACACCACTTCATGTGGCCTTACCCAGCTGTGGTAAAATCACCGCCAATTGCCAAAGAATGGTGATTGTTGTTGTGTGTACTGTATATGTTTTGATCTATGTATATGTAGAGGGAACAGTGGCTTGTGCACTGCACTATGAATCCAGAAACCTGCGTTTGATTATCAGCCATTGTGAGCCGACCTAAGTGATGAGTGATATCTAAACTGGCCCTGGGCCCTCCTTAGCCATCCTGCCCTGACCAGTGAGGTGAGGTCAAACAACCCCCATGGCTACCATGCCATAGTGAGGCATTCATCCGGCAGCGGATCAACCAAGGGCTCTATGTTATTTTATTAACACTGAATAATGTACAGTATATATAGACATATCATTCAAATTTTCATTAGAAAAGACTTATGAATGGAAAACGTGTACGTATGTCCACATACTGTACATGCATGCGTGTCTAAGTGTGCATGTGTGCGAGTGAGCGGATGAGTGTGTGTTTGTGCGTCTGCGGTCAGATTTTGCTTCGGTACTTAATTCAGAGCAGATGGGTACAAAGACACGACCAACATTGCCGAGTCCCCACACATACTTCCATCCACACGCAGATCGCAGAGTCCATATGCACACACAAAGACAAAGATCTCCTCGCTTTAGGCTCAACTGACTGTTGGGGCAAGTGCTGTTAGGGAGCACCTATGAAGGTTGGCACAGCATACGAGGCGTTTGGTGGCCACCACGACACCCGGTCGCCGTTGTCTCTCAAGTGGCGATGTTTACACGCTGCACCAGATACACATTTGAGACAGTCGACCAGGACTGGTTCAGATATTTGTCAATGGTGTTGGCCCCGAGCGGGAATTGAACTCGGGTCGCCGGGTTCGTAGTATTGCAGCACGCTAACCGCTAAGCTTCTGCTCCCCCCACCCACACACAAAACACTCCTCCCACACTCGCACAAACACACGTGTTTGCGTGAGGGTGTGGGGAGCAGTAGTGTGTTGTTCAGCCTCACATTGTAATTGACATGAAATACAAACACGTACAGTCCATTTTGTCAATCCACTGCAGGATTAGGGCCTTCCAACGCCTTGCGGGCCACGAGGGATATTTTACCATACTTCACCACGCTGGTCAATGTGGTTTGGTGAGAGTGGGGAGTGCAGAATAATGGATTTTTCTTCAGTGCCCTCTGCTGCCTACAACGCCTACTGCATCGGTATTTTACACATGAAGGTCGCCCATCCAAGCACCGTCCAGGGTCAAGTCTGCTTAGCTTCCAAAGTCTTATGCAATTGGGCACTTTCTGGGCGATTCGGTCAGATGTGTTGTGTTCCCGTTATATCTATACCACCAAACTGACAATCCACTGGTTCTGTCTTGGTATGCTTCTACATCGAAATGGCCAATAAAGACGTTACAGTGTAGGGGCCAGAGGACATCTCTGGTGCAACTCCAAGGTGAACAGGAAATGGCTGCGATTTATGGGCCATGTAGAGTTTCAAGAAGAAAAGTTTAACATATTTGCAGCTTCATTTTGAAGGGGTCTGAAATAGAATATTATAGTTATAACCCGCCTTTTGCCCGCCCAAGGACGACGGGTGTATTGCAGTAAATCTGAAACTAGCAAGTGAAAAGCAGACCGCGACGTGATACTCATTGCATCCATCCGTGTGCAATTTGTAAGGCCACGGTGACAGACCTATTTCATTTAAAGGTTATAATCCCTTGTTCCTCATGACGCCCTTTTTACTTCTATATGTCTCAATAGCGTGACGGAGATCGCGTGACGTGAGGGTTCAGCCTTTGTAGTGAGGGTTGTGAGTTGACGCCGAGGGGGGGAGGCGCCTCGCCCCCCCATGTGGAGTGACGTCACCCGCTAATTACACTGTGTAACAATTTTATTTGTTCCTGGGTAGTAAGTGTTATTTCCTAATTGCTTATGCCTCAATAGTACAGAAAATGGCTATTATTCCCCACAAACTTTTCTATTGTGACCAGGACAGTGATATTTTTTAATTTACTTATTTTCAATGAGAAAACGGGCGAATTTGTCTTTTCCTTCACATAAACTCAGAAAAAACAACATATGAATCACAATTTATATGTATTTACACTAAAGTAATACGGGTCAGGATTGAACCCACGACCTCCTGGACACCAGGCAAGCTAGTTAACATCTCGCCACCATGGCCCCCAAACAGTCTGCGTAGGCGAGAGAGGATCTTCTTCTTCTTTGTACCTCTGTGCGTGTGGACAGTGGCTGAAAATGAAGTGCTAGCCTCAGACATTGTGGAGTAATAACTCTGTTAAAACCCAGACACGTTTCAGCCTGCCTCTGACCAGTGCCAAGCCTTCGGACCTTGATCAGCAGGTAACCATCTCAGAACGAGTATTTTCATTATCACAGCAGATTTAAGACTCACAGCCAATTGTGACCGAGTTAGTGACTTGGCGTACGGTCTAATTATGCTATAGAAGGGCTAGAAAGCCAACGTTTGGGTCAAATATAGTGAAGTCCATGCTGATAACTAGGAAAATAAAGAAGCAAATAAACATGCTTTAGAATGTGGGCCCATAAAACTTTAGGGGCCAGACGTTGATCGCCTTACTCAAAGAGCAGGGTCAGCCTCTGGCTCTAAGCATAAAACTAATTGCTTAACAGTATACAACCCTCCAAGCATTAGTGAACCAAGTAAGTTGCCTTCTTTGTAAGTGCGATGCAAAATTCTAAACATGGGCAAAGCCTGCTCCTGGTTACACATATATACTTAGGTGCTTGTTACGAGCACTTTCCCGAACAATCCGTCCAGGCTACTCGAGGGCATTTTGCCTTTGCTAGTGGACCAGAGCGTGCATGTTGTTCATGTATATTTGAGGGTACATGCAAGTATTTGTGAGCATATGTTAAACGAAAAATATGTGCACACGTCTTTGCTCAAGCACGATCTCTCGCCTGAAGCCCTTTCGAGCCTGGCTCGCAGACCTCGACATTGGCATTGAGCTTCTGAACATAGCATATGCAAGCATGTCCATTTGTATGTGTGCATGTAAGCTATGTATGTCTGTGTACATTTGTGTAAAAACATAGTATACAGTGTATACATGCGTACATCCCTGTACACATGCACGCACTTACACACGCATACATGCACGGTTAATATTGATTCTCTAAGCTCACGGTACACACATCAGATCATGTATGACCACCGATGATTTTCAATTCCTACAGGTCATCTGTCCATAATAGAGGTTTTTTGAGTTAGATCGCATAAATATATAAATGTGTCGTTAAAACCCGCCACCACCCGACACAGCCAACTAGTAAGGGTTGTCACGTAAACAGAACGTGGACAATTAGTCACTCGTACAGCACATCCGGTGTGTTGGAGAGCCAAGCCACAACATTTACAATCTGAGTACGACGTTTCGCCAGTAATTACAATTTGCGTCATCAGGCGACAGCCATATTTGTGGAGAAGTCCACCTGTTTCGTTCCTTTATAGAGGCGGAGATGTGGTGACCACGCTTCTGCGCTCTTGCCCCACGTGGCGGGGGGGAATTACTGAGGCATAATACATTATGCATCATGTAAGCCCTTTGAGCTTGTCCTTCCTGTCCGTTGTGCCTATTAAAATAGCCGTACCAACGGTAATCTGTAATGAGCACAGAGGTCATCTGTAATGAGCACACATGACCTCTGCAGCCACTAGAGAGCGCCACAATTACCACAATGTAACAACTAAACAAACATTTCACAAAGTCATCACCTTGAATCACAAAAATTCAGCGAACGGCCCCGACATTGAATCGTTATACCTCTCCTACACATTAATTAGAATTAGAATATTTGTTTATACTGGAGGAATCCGATGGGCTACAAAGCTCTTTTCCACAGACGTCCAGTTGGTACATCTCACAAGGTGAAGCCCACCGAGCTGTTAGCTTATGTTTCAGAAGCGAGCCGGCCACACTTGATAGCTGAACAAAGTGGTGGCCTATGTGGAAATCAACCGCCGCCACCACTCACCGAGGATGATGGAGACCGTCTTCTGCAGGTTCATCGTCGTCTCCTTGTGCTTGCGCGGCAACGAGCTGTGCCGAGACATCCGCAGCGTCTGCTTTCGCACGTACACGTAGATGTGCACGTACAGCCCCACCATCACCACAAACACCACGAGGTTTGACGTCGCCCAGAAGATCAGGTAGCTGTCGCTGTACAGCGGCGCCATGTTCGAGCACGTTTTGATGTTGCAGATGCAGTTCCAGCCGAAGGAGGGCAGGGCGCCCATGAAGACGGAGATCACCCATATCATGACGATCACCACCATCACGCGCCGCTTGCTCATCTTCGTGTGCAGCTGCATGCGGAAGATGGTCACGTGCCTCTCGATGGCGATGGCGAGCAGGTTGGCGACCGACGCCGTTAGGCTGGTGTCGAGCAGCGACTGGCGCAGCATCCAGGTCCGCACGGTGAGGTTGCGCGTGTTGGGCCCCGTGTTCGCGAGCAGGAAAATGTAGGCGATGCCCGCGAACAGGTCGGCCGCCGCCAGGTTCCCAAGCAGGTAGTAGATGGGCACGTGGAAGCGCTTGTTGACGTAGACGGCAGCGATGACGAGCCCGTTGGCGAAGAGGACGAGGGCCGAAACGAAGATGCCCAGCGCCAGCGTCACCACCTGATGGCCGCAGCCGATCAGAGAGAGAGGGAAGTTATAACGACCGGAACGCAGTCGGCACTCTGCGAGCGAAGACGGTACATGCAAGCGTTTGCCAAACATTTAAAGCTAAACGGCATCGGCGAACGGACCTCAATATAGTAAGATAATTGTTGCTAGATTGGGCCTTCCAGAGTCGTCAAAAAGGTAATTCGACGTTCACTAAGTATTGGACATAGTAAACATATCCGGGATCTTTAATACTGACTTTAAATAATTCTTCACAATGTCCTCATCCCAAAAAGGCAACATTTGGTTGCTAAGGATATCTGAACCAGTCCTAGCCCCTCCTCCCTTCACTATAATACCATGCTGACCAGCCTGGTGAAGTATGGTCAACCAAGCCCATGACCAACATGACATGGGGAGGCCTTCATCCAGCACTGGACTGGCAAAAAGGTTGTACATGTACACAATCATGATCATCCCTCCACGATTGATGAAAAAAATCTACATATTTGGACCACTTTGTGGGAAGTCCATTGGACAGACCCCCCCCCCCCCCCGCCATGGGGAATGTGAAATTTCCACTGGTTGCCCATGGTGCAAATAGAGGTGAAGAGACCCCCCCCCCCCCAACTCCTCCGAAGGCAGACTCCCCGACTACGACACTGTAATGAACCTGACAATGGTTTCCGTTACATACCACGCCAATTAAACACGTAGACTTTAGCGACCAATATTATTAACTGAAAGGTTTTTTTTAGTTAGATCACGTGACACAAATGCGTTAACCCAGCACCACCCGACACAGATAATTATTTAATAAAGTTTGTCACGGAAACAAAATGTGCCAATTAGTAATTACTTCAGCACATCGGCGTTTACCATTTGAGTGCCGTGACGTTTCGCTCGTAATTACAATCGGCTTCATTAGGCGATTTTTTTCCAGAATTGTGACAAACCTTACAATGTCGGGTGGTGGTGGGTTATCGACACATTTATTTTTACGTGATCTAACCCAGAAAAAAGACCTTTATTATGAACATACCACTCCCCTAATCTGGCACTTTCAGGGAGAGGGCCACTCAGTCAAGCAGAAATAATTCTGCTGTGTGAGCAGAGCAACCAGGAAAATGTTACAGCGCCCGGCACACTACATCCACAACATCTAACGCCATGGCCTTGGCTACTAGTCAGTCGCCTGCTCCAGGTTACCAGCGGCCAGTGATAATTTAATCCCAGGCTTTTGAGATTCCCAAATCTGCTAAGGCCGTGAAGTTCTCGAGACATGGCAGTACAGCAAGCGGGTTCTTGAAAGAAGTCTGTGTGCACCTCGAGTGCTGTCCCCTAGCATGCGTGGGTTTTCTTTAAGTTGTATTTGCCTGTGCGCAAAACACTCATTAAGGATGAAGAATTGCATTTACGTGCTCAGACTTGCTTTTATTAATCCACTGCTGGATGAGGGCCTCCCCATGCTGTGTGAGTCAAGGGGATTATCGGACAATATTTCACCACACTAGTCAGTGTAGTTTGGTGAAGTTTGGGAGCAGACGTTGGGAGCATAGTACAGTACAGCAATGGATTTTGCTACATGGTCCTTTGCTGACCACCGTGTTGCCGTGCAGCACCTGACAACAGCTGTTATTGCATGCTAGTCCCTGGAGATGGGCAAAAACACATCGTTTTCTAGGTAGCATGCGAGGTTTTGGCTCCGACAGATTATTCTAGTACTGCCGCTGATGATGATCAATAATGATGATGATGATGTTACTGACAGAGATGGGTACGATTAATTGAGTCATGCCGATTAATCGGGGCTCACCTGAAGGGTGCCCCACTCGTGCGGGAGCTCCTTGTTGCTGTTGTTGTAGAAGAATTCGATGGAACCATTGTAGTGGCACATGTTTGACATCTTGCTGCACACTCACACACTCACCAATCCACTCGCTCACGCACGCGCCCACTCACACACTAACCCACCTACTCTCCACTCGTTCACTCGTTCACCTATTCTCCCTCGAGTCCACTCTTCCACTCGCCCACTCATCTACTTGCTCGCCATTTGCCCAACCTACTTGTCGACTTCCCCGATAACCTACCCACCTACCTACTTCTAAACTAGTGAGCCTACTCTTGTACCCGCTTTCTCACCCAGCCAGTTGTTCACTCACTCACCCTCCCACCCAATAGTTCATGTACCCAACCACTAGCCCACTCACACACGCTATCAGTCAGACACTCGAACAGTTGCCCAGTCACCCACTCACTTGTACAATGTAGAACCTGCTCACGCCAGACACATGGGCAACATCACATATTACAAAATTATTATATATTTAACTTTTTACTCCGAATTAAATTCCAAATGCCACCAGCATTACAAATTGCCAAGAGACACAGCCGTGTTTGAGATCTCGCATAGTAAGAAGCATAACATTATATCATATCAGAGCATGACCTGGTCCTCTGTTTCCATTACTATTCAACAGTGGCCAAATTCCAGCTTGGAGAATGTAAAATATCAGTTTGACTCTTATGCGCTGAACATTAATTTGGGCAAGCAGGGGGGCAGGTGAGAAAGTGCTGCCTGCCACTGTGCAAGGGATCTCAGAAGTAGCCCTGCGATATTCACTTATGTGGGCCTTTCTCTAATGTGAAGGCTTTCGCTGCCATGTGATAGCACAATTGAGTTCAAATTGTAGGAAAATTACAACAAAAACATCCCATCTTTTGACCACATGGTTCAAGAAACAATCCATGCATCTATCAGCGTCATTTCCATCTGGTACAGATATAATGGGAGTCAATGGATGTCAGCGCACTCTGTTATGCATGCCGATGACCTGTTGATTTGGAGACAGGAGAGACCATACCGCTGAACCTGGATAGTCACAATGAGCTAAACTTACCGACAGCACCACCTAAACAAAAGATTTGCCCAGATACTGTTTATGACAAGCTCTGGTTTGGCAGCAGATGTCTTGCTCCGAATCAGTAGAGCTCCATTATCTTTTTTATTGGCTGCGTAATACTGTCACTGTCACTCCACATGAAGCTCCAAGTGTTTTTAGCCACGAAAATATCCCCTCGGTTCGCAAAACACGGACTTCTCCCTTACAAGAACACCTGGCTTGAAGCATTCAGGCTGGTCTGCCAACAACCCACCCTGGGTCTACCCAGGCTATACCAGAAGATAAACTAAAATATACCTGAAAGATTTAGACACATTTCCAACAGTGGGCTCCTTGCCAAGGCAAACAATGTGTTGGTTTGGTCATGTAGCCCACATGCCCAGCCACTGCATGCCCACACAGATTATGTTTGGCCAAATGGAGGTGGTTAAATGGGTGTGCGTCACAGGCTAGAGAATAGGGAAGGGCCGAATTGTCGACTTGGAGAGGAGTTGTCTTGTACCAGCAGTGTCAAGATCGGCCTCTATGGAGGAGACTCATGATAGATGCTTGGGCAGGGGAAGAAAGAGCAACCCTCACGAGAACAAGCAGAGCGCCAGGAAAATAAAATATAGCAAGTTGGCACAGCGGGGATCACAGATGGCACATCTGCCCAGTCATCTTAATAATTTAACAGGAACACACGAGTATGTCCTACGATCTCCTACCATTGGTCCTCTGGCACTTTGTGCGACTTCAAATCATATTTAGCCTGGCACAAATACAGTGGCGATTTCACTGCCAGTTAGTAGTAAATGTCGGATGTTGCTGTGTTGTCGTCATATGTTGTGTGTGTGCCTCGATATATTCGTTGGGAGAAGGGCAGTGTAGTGGTTAACGTATTGCACAACGAAGCCAGTTACCCAAGTTTCATTCCCGCCCACTCCCAACATCAGTGATGCATATCTAAACTGGTCCTCGGCTCCTCTAGGTAACCTCAGCCTAAAGTGAATACCTAGTGTGGTGTTTAAACATCGGCAATGAGAGAGACAAATATGAAGAGTGTGGTGCTTACCACACCGCTCCCTCGTGTGCTGTTCTGGCCTTCATTAGGTGCTCGCAAATAGCACCTGCCCCAACAGCCTGTGCAGGCTCCGAGTGTTTTTGCTTGAAAATACTTGCATGTATACATCTTGATGTTTGTATGTACGTGCACGTGTCTGTGTGTATATGTTGGGGGTAAAGTAGTGGTGCAGCAGTTCTCTCACTGCACTCTGAAACCCGGTGACCAGAGTTCGATTCTCGGCTTTGGCGAAAATCAGCGGTTCTGGGCACACTCTTCCCTAAACTACACCGACCAGCATGGTGAAGTATGGTTAAACAACCCCCATGAGTGAAACAATGGGGGGACCTTCACGCAGGAGTGAATTTATAGGTCTGTAAAACATGTTTTTATGATTTATATGGATATGTGTGTATATGCGTGTGTGTGTAAGAGGGCAGAGTGGGGCGGAGGGAATTCAGGAATGCGGTCGGACAAGACAAGGCAACACACCTGAAGCACGCCTGAAAAACACACGTCGAACACAATTCTAACACACATACAAATAAAATACAAAGATCCCCCATATAGCCTTAGTAGACTGTTGGGGCAAGTGCTGCTAGCAAGCACCTATGAAGGCCGGCACAACACACGAGAGGTGGGTGGCCAACACCACGTGCGGCCACCTTTGTCTCCCTACTAGCAATGTTGACTCACAGCACCGTGGACTCATTTGAGGCTGAAGTCGACATAGGGAGTCGCAGGACAGATTCAGATAAATCGTCACTGTGTGATGTGTAATCGTTACTGGTGTTGGCCGTGAGCCAACACCAGTGACGATTACCCATCACACCCAGACACACACAAACACGCATACCAAAACACTCAAATGCACAGTACAGACGCATAACCAAACCCACAACTGGCACATAAATATGAGCGTGGACAATTAGACCCAAGCCGAAACATAACATATAAAAAGATGGTTTAAAAAATATATTTTTTAATGATAGAATATAGTATTGTCATCAGTATGACATAAGTATACCAAGTTTGCAGTCGATACCACATTGGGAAGTGGGTTAAAATTGAGTCACGAGATTTTAGGAAAATACAACAGAGTGGAGTTAAATAAAAGCGTGTAAAATAGTCCCAGACCACACCAAGATAACACAGTCCCCCTTAATAAAATTTGGAAATTCAATTTGAACTCTCAATACATGTTTTAAAGGTTCAATTTACAAATGCCATTGGCAAATGTGACACTAATCTTCTGCTTCCGAATATTGTGAAGCGAGGAAACAAGCTTGTTCCAAAACGTTGGTGCTGCAATGCCAAAGCGTTTGTCAACTCTTCCAATTCGTGTTCTTTGGATAGTTAAAAGGTCGCCACTGCACACGATCTGGTTGGGGGTGGTGTGGCCATCACCACAGCCGGCAAAATTTCACTCCCATTTGGAGATGTTGCCATACCGCCACCACCACCACACCGAGTACTGATTTAAGGCAGAATAAACCGATTTAAAGGCTTTGGACCAGATATGATGCTCCGTGGAAATGGTGTTAGCCATGGCCCCTGAATTACACCTTGGTTACAGAGTTTGAAGCACAGTGCAACAATACATGCACAACCACTCCCACATACATTCAGAACTCCCCTTTATCCGCAGCCCGATTACCCGCGACTCCCATTATCCTCGGAAGCTGTTAAATTCGCTTAAAACTCCTTCTGCCCGCAACCCAATTTCTTCCTTTTATCCGTGATATTTTACCCCGCAGATAAGAGTGAAATTGCGAGTAACAGGACCGGCGATAATTGGTCCCTCATATCAATGTGGATAAGAAATAGTTATATATAAAGACACAATAGACAAACATCCCATGTACAGGTTATCCCTCTAAATATATTTAACAAATATTTCGTGTTAAGGCGATTGACCAATCGTGGACACTTTTCCATAGACGAAATTGAATTTCCGCGCGAAAGAAATTTCACTACGGCCACGAGGTCAAACAAAGTGCCACCCCGGGAGGGTGCGTCACCCATCCACGACAGAGTCACGGTGTTGCTGCAGTGCAACAGCAACGCCTCCATAGTGGCGTAGTAAAGAGCGTAGTAAAGACGCAAGCTCAGGGGGATACGGCAATCGGTCAGGTGGGGCCCCAATATTTGAGTCGACTCGCACGGTCGCGCACCTAGGCTATTGTATATCACGGCACCTCTCGCCAAATCACATCGTTACGCTCACGATCTCGAAGATTTAGCGCTGTGGGGGCACTCCGTTTTAAATAGGTTTTTGTTCTTTTACACTGTTGTTGAAAAAAATGTCTCTAATGGTGGTTGTCAAGGGGGGACCCAACTCGTAGCTTTGGCTACCTGGGGACGAGGGGGCAAGGCAACCCCTGCCAATGGCGGAGCCAGGATTTTCAGGTAGGGGGGGCAACCCCTCCAGCAATGAAAAATTATAGAGGAGTTGTTAGCAAGTAAGGACTTGTCCCTTGCTTTTTATTCGACACGTGTGTGGCGATGGCGCAGCCATCGATCGAGGGTCGAATTTGAACCGTGTTGTGTGATCGGCATCGCGCTCGCTGAAGGTGTTGATGCCTTCAGGGAAGTCGTGTCCTGTATACACAACTGCGCACAATTCTGAGTCACTTATAACTGCTTTGCCGTTACTTATTGACAATTATGGACTCGGACTATTGTCCTATCATCTCATATGAATCCCTGGCACATAATAATATGCTCCACAGTGGCAATGGGGCTCGCAAAATGCCGATGTATTACTAATTAACCCCAATGATCCGATCGAAATTAGGGATTTCGATCAGATCATTGGGGGGGCACGTGCCACCCCCCCCCGCCACCCCCACTGGCTCCGCCAGTGACCCCTGCCCCCACGCAAGTTATGCTTACTGCCTCCACATCACCTTTCCATTCAATATTTTTTTTTCAATACATTATAGTTCAATAGTTTTTAATATTCACGTTAATTATTATTATTTTGGATTGTGAAAAGTGACATAGGTGAATATTTTTAGATTAGGAGTAGAGTTGGAACGATTGTCCGAAATTCATCCCAATTTCTTTTATAATTTTTTTTTTATTAATAAGAAAAGCCATTCCGATTTACGACATTTCGTTTTAGTTTTCTTAAATCGAGGGATACCTGTACTGTTAATGACTTTCACAGCCTTTTGGGGCGAGTTCTGTGAGCGAACAGACGGTGTGATCAGAAAACACTCCTAGACACTTTTGTCTCCCCAGTGCTGATATTTACAAATCGCAACTGCGACTCATTTAAGGCTCATCTCGGGCAATTCAGGACCATTTCAAATATTCATACAAAG